GATGTCATAGGAACGTTATACCGTTGCCGTTATACTACAGGATGTTTTCTGCTTATCATCAAAACAGCATGGCCGCTGATACATTCGCAAGAGCGATGATTTGGCACGTATGATACAATCCGCGGAAGGTGATTGGCTGTTAGTAAGATTTCGCTGCTGAATGCACGTAGCGAACGTAAGCGTGAGCCCTTTCGGGCTGTGCGGTACTCTTCGTCAACGGCGCATTTTTCCTTATTTCTAGACCATAGGTCAATGCCATAAAAAGAGAACGCCACTGTCTGTAAAAAGCACAGCACCGAAAAAAGAACGGCAATCTCCCAAATGTTATAAACAAAAAAAGACGCGACGGCCAATCCGCCTTTTCTCCTGCTGGTTTTTTTGGCGTCTTCTACTGTCGTACTTCTCACAGACAGCTCGGTTGGTACCCTGTGTACCGGAGCAAAAAACCTTGCACGGATTTATGGATTAGCAAGGCATTATAAAGTTAGGGAAACATTACAGTAGTTTTAGATGCATACTTTACTTAATATTTAACACACATTTTAGGACAAATCTAAATCTCGAAAAAATAAATTGTGTCCTTTAAGAATAACCTCTTGAGTTGTATTACCATGAACCCCATTGGGGCTCTATTTTGAAAGGAAGTCACGGTAAAATGCGGTGCTATAACCAAACATATGTAGAGAAATTGCGAGAAAACCTGCAATTTGATAGTCCCGCGGGTTGCGCAAGTGTGGGATTACGCTTATTTGACATTAGAGTGTGAATCAGGCGTTTGAAATGGGTGTGATCACTGATGACGCGTGCCAGTGGCTTGTATTGATCTTGATGTGATGAAGAGCGTGCGTGCGAGGTTTGTACTTCTGAGAGAAAACATTGTTTTGGTGTTCTTTAAATCTAACGACTTACAATGAAATGTGGCATATTGATACCTGCTTCTATCTTCAGGTTTGCGTTTGGACATGATAAGGTAGTGATGTCGGCGAACTGAACGAAACACTAGCACCCATGCTGCAGAGGTGTTCAATGACGATTTGCTACTTCAGTATGATCTTGCCAACATTTTGAACCCATGGAGGTATTTCAGCATGTAATTAATACATTGCATGCGATTATATTAGCAATTCCTTTATACGGCAGGGACAGGTCAGCACAGCTCATTAATGCACATGCTTGGTATAAGCTCGTATGTCATAGTTTTACAAAATTGTCTTTCACATTAGAATTCTGAAAATATAGTGCTGTATTGTTATGGAGGCACATACGAATGTCTTAAATGTTGTATGCAGACAGGCATTACTTGTGAGTCATCATTGTCAGAGTCACGGCGACTTCTATGAAATGCTGGGTGCTGAGAAAGGTGGGGAAGTATTGCTGTTGGTTTCTTGGATAGAAATTAATACCATTTGTATCATTAGCCTTGTGTGTTGAAGCCTATCAGCAGCTTCGCCACCTTCATACATTTCGCCAATCTAACCATAACTTTTGTTGTTGCATTAACCATGCATTTGTCATGTCTCCAGTATTGTGAAAGGTCAGCAGTTTGCAGTATCATTCCAAATGTACTATTTTCTTGTCATACATGTGTTATTACTTGTGTGAACAATATTTTTGAGCAAAGCAGCCTGTTGGCTGCAACATGTCTTATGCCTGTGGAGGGCAGAAGACGTGTCTGGATCCTTGTCACGCATGTTTAATTTATTTCCAAAACAGGCAGAGCAAGTGTTGTCACTTATTGGTTGTGTGCTTTGCTGAAAGCGATCTGTATATTGTACGATGTGTTTTTGGTTAGTCATATATGAAATGCGGAGTTAATACAAGAATGCATGCTTGACCCACCTTTTCATGATGGAATTTATTATGAAAGCAGCAGGGATTGCAGTACAAAAAACGCATCAGTGTTCATTATGCCATGCCACAGTACTGCACTAAATTGGTGTCGCGATGATACTGCTGACCCATGCCATTACACAATGTACCAACATTAGTCGACTGCTCTATGTCAAGCCTATGAGATACCAGCTTACAATTTATGAATGACTGGTAACAACTGATTTAACAACGCCAAAGGACCATGACCAGCGAGAAGTGCTGTTCCAGGACATTGGTTATATTAGATTTAACTAGTGATTACATAAATAATCTAAGCAAGAAAAACAGTCTTGGTAGCTCAATCTAGCCATCTTTACCAAAGAAATCACAATGCTTTGGCAATAAATTCATAGCAGTGTTGCAGATTTATCAATGTTTGCATACAATTTGCATTTCCAGCCACAAATAATAAAGTAACTACTGTGCGCATCATAGGATATTAATGTCAGGACTACAGCACTGCAGGCAAGGATAAGTCAACAATACAATATTGACATCTACTGTCGTGGGCAGGTTTCGGTAAGAGTTTTTTGACGCCATATGACATTCTTCACAGCATATCGTGGTTTGCTATTAAGAAATGTCCTAAAAGCTGACGGTCGCTACGTTACATACGTCAAACAGCTCACCAAACCTTATGTTCCTAAAAGCTGACGATCGCTACGGTGCATATGTCAAACAGCTCACCAAAGCTTATGTTCCGACCTAAGACAAAGAATCCACAAACAAGCCATTCATTAATCTGCAAACCCAACATAGTTCCGCGACGAGAATAGCCGGTTGGCGTCAGTTTTTCGTGTCCGTTTCGAAGGGCATTTTTAAGACTGGCTGCCAGATGGCTTCCAGGTATTGCCGTCGTCACAAAACATTCCATGACGCCATCAGACAATGACGTCATGGGGCGCACTTTTACAAAGTTTGAAATTTTGCTCCTTAGGGTCCTTGAGATACAAGTAAAAAAGGAAAAGATTACTTGTACTTAGGTACAAGTAAGCTTTTTCACCATATCTGACGCTTATCTCAATATCTTCAGATGTGGAACATTTCCTTTACAGAAAATGTTCCACGTTCAAATATATTGAAGTATTCATCAGATATGGGGAAGCAAGCTCAATTATAATCATAAGTATGCTTTTAAATGGAAAAGATTGCCCCAAAGAACGCAATATCTCTGTTAAGTAAATAGGTGCCTCAATACGTCATTGTACCTAGCATGGCATTGATTGAGAGCCAATTGGCGGCCGTTGTATCTGTAAATCGTGTGCACGAACACCAGATATGAACGACTCAATGATTATGTTTTCGACGCTGATCTGAGATTCCACCGCCCAGCGGCACACACACACACACACACACACACACACACACACCACACACACACACACACACAACACACACCACACACACACACCACACACACACACACCCACACACACACACCCACACACACACACACACCACACACACACACACACACACCACACACACCCACACACACACACACACCACACACACACACACAACAACACACACACCACACACACACACACACACACCCCACACACACACACACACACACACCACACACAACACACACACACACACACACACACCACACACACACACACACACACACACACAACACCCACACACACACACCACACACCACACACACACACACACACACACACACACCCACACACACCCACACAACACACACACACACACACACACACCACACAC